ATCAGAATATCCTAACATCTTCACGGCATTGTCGAAAAGAAATTTATTGAAGAAATCAAGGTCGATATAGTCTATATAACTTATTTTCACATGCTCATACATAAAATTTCTCATCTTCCGAAATAAAATTCTACCATGATGAAGACGTATGCTGAAGTACTTCGAATTTTCCCCTGAAAAAAGCAACGAAAAAAATAAAGTTAAGCCTTAGCCCTTTTCAGTTTGAGCAACGAACATGTGCAGAAAAGATAGTACACAAGCATTACGCTCTAATGCACCAAGTCACTTAAAATTTTTGAATTTCCCAGTACGTGAAGACAATCGAACAGGGGAACTTCATAATCACAGCACTTCATACCGTAAACCGAAAAAAGTGGAACACACTTACCATACACGTGTTGGGGAAGAGAGCGTAGAATGTGGGCTGTAATGTCCACTAGATGTTCATCTTCTTTCACGTACGTTTCGTCTTCTTCGTGGGTTTTCGCAGGGTCCATAGTGGATGGTGAGTGGAATGAAGTTGCAACTGACGTGTTTGATATTGAGGAGGGAAATGTGTGTAACGTCCAGATTGCCCTTCACTTATTTGGGGAAAATTCTTGAAAATATCATTAGAGGGGTCAACTGACGGTTTTGACGGTCAAACAGACAAAACCCGTCGTTTTGGACTGGCCCTGCTCATTTTTGAAAGATTTGGTATCTTCGGTGGCACAAACTAAAAGTTTGAGTATAGTCTGCTAATAAATGAAAGGTTTGGTACCTTAACTGCAATTTTTCCAAAAATATATGGTTGTCCGACTATATTTAATATTAAATTACAAGCGCTTATTGTTATTTCCTATCTACAACCAAACACAATTTATTTTATCCAATCAATTTGACTTGTCATCGTCGCTATCACTCTATTTATTATACAATTATGTTTGAATCCAACCTTTTTATTTAATTCAACTCAAGTTATGAATTTATTTGCTAGAGAGGACCTCAATTTTTATTTTATCAAGTGATTGTAAAAATAAATTTTACATTTTATTTGGATAAATTAACAAAAAATAATTTATTTTTTTTTTTAAGAACTTAACCATTTGCAAAAAGTTTAAAAGATAAGTATATGATTCAGATTCACCTACCATTAACTTCTTCTCATCTAATAATACTTAAAAAGTAAAACATTTACTAACTCTACTATGCATGGTCAGATACATGATGTAATGAATAAAATTGACAGATAGGTAAACTTTGTTTTAAAAATATAATTTATTTGTCCCAATCTAATAATATTATGCACACGATGTCCTAACTCGATGAAAAATATCTTAATAAACTATAAAGGATTAAGCGATAGGAACGTGATGAATCACCAATGGTACATTTATCCAAAAATAATATTTTTATTTTGCATATTTGTCATTTCAAAGTAACAAATGATAAATCAATATTCAAACTAGAGGAAGATTATTTTTGAATAATTATAGCCAGTTGACATTTATGAAGTGCCTATGATGCGATTGTTCACGGTCTATGTAGACGTCTTCCATCGAGTTGAAAGATTTTGAGCATAATGTTGTTATAAGATTATGAGCGCAATATTAAAAGATTGGGGATACGGATAGGATAAACTAAAGATCGAGACATGAATGTTGCACTTAAGAAAGGATGGGGACTCATAGAGAAATTTATCCAATACAATAAAATAAAATAAAAAATATCCACATTTGCACAACTATCGTGTTTATAACCCCCAATTCTGGTAAGTAGCTTCCATATCATTCCTCATGGTCCAGTTCCCAACAGTCAATCTACTCTCCCTTGCACCAGTCACCCACTACGTCGTCCTACTCCCTCTCGGCTCTCCCTCTATATTCTCGCCTTGTCTTCTCCACCGCCGCCACCACCGTCTCGCCAGATTCCACCAAAAACAAACATAAGTAAACCCACCCGCTGAAACAGTCATCATCAATCAAATATATTACTTTTATGGTATGAACACAAAAAGTTACTGATATGCTAGCTCTTGACCAAGCTCGACCAGTACACCTCGAAGACTCCAAATGACTCCCCTTGACATTTCACCATTGCTGTGATCAAGCATCGACATCCTCAAGATATAATACTCAACGACTTGTCTTGTACGGCTCTCTCATTCTGTGATTTACCTCCTCGAGCATGCGTGGCCTCGAGAATTGAACCTCCTTTACGACCCACGACAGCTGTCATCAATCTAATAAGGTTCCTATGTTCTTGAAATTCTAGTCCCACTTTACTACTTTAATTAGTGATGGCAACGGGTTTGGCCAAAACCCCGCCCCGCCTTAGACGGGACGGGGCAACTTTTTGCCCCGTTTAATTTTTTTATTTTTTATTTTTACATTTTGAAAGTTTCGAATTATGTTATTATTAGATAATAAAATACAAATTTAAAATGAATTTTTAACATATAAATTATCTAGAAATAAAATTATTTTTAATTTTTTTTTTTTTACTTTTTCTTCACGGGACGGGTTCGGTGCGGGGCGATGGGGCGACCATATACGCCCCGCACCACGCCCCGCGACGGGGCGAGTTTTTTTGTCCCATTCGGGACGGGCCATCACTAACTTTAATACTTGACTTCTGCAGGGACTTTATTCCAAGCATAATTATGACATTGGTCCAACTCCTTCCCCTAATAGGACTTCGTTGGATAGAGATACCCAACTAGTTGAATCCTACTACGAGAATGTCACCTACTACTATATATAGAGGATCATGTCATTGTTTAGGTATGGTTTCATTATTCTCCAGTTTATAGACTTAAGCATCAGAGGGACGATAAAAACATACGTCGTTAACTTTGTTTCAGGTACCAAAAAATTACGATCGTGCTCATTCAAAAATCCTCAAATTCGAGAAATCAATAGGATTTTTGGTAACAGCAGTTCTAAACAATGTTTTCCCGTTTTCCCCTTCGCGTTGCTTCGAAATTACCATTCTCTTGCCACTCCACACTCCGTTATCTCATCGGCGCAAACCACACTTCTGCCAGATTCTGTGCCCGATAAGTAATAATCCCTAATTATTATTTTTTTTATTTTTAACACACGGAGAAAGAGAGATACAAATTGCATGCACAAATTTATACTCACGTAAGAAGATTCCTATTTAATTTTTCATTTTTTCGAAAGTTTTTTACTTTTTGCTTAATGTTATGGAGCGTAATAAAGGGAAGCCAGGTTTTCTGTGAGATTTTCTTGTGCGTTTAATTTTATTTTTTGTTTCTGTGGTTGCTATTCGATTTGTCACTCTCCGGGGAGAATCCTGTGACCTCTGCGATTTCTGCTTCTTCTCCGTGCCGGAATATCTCAACGTCGCGACCGACGTTGGCGAGCTCAGCAAACCGTCTTCTGCAATAATTGCTATCGCCGGAAAATCGGCTCCGGCGACTCCCCTGAAACTTCCCGGTCTCTGGGCCACCGATGGATTCCAAAAAGCCGTGCGGTTCTACTCCTCCGTTCCAAGGTCTGATGTCGGACGGCGTTTTTAGTCCCAATTTTAAGGTCCTATGCATCGAAATGCAGATGGGGTGGGATGTTTTTGCTTTGAAAGATATCGGAGTTGAGGATTCGATTGGAATTTCCAAGAAACCTTTGGTGATTTCAGGTCAGGGCTTTAAGCAGCCTTTCAATGATGAAACTTTTGATTTTATATTTGCCGGCGATGGAATGGTTGAGAAATCAGTGAGGCCGGTGGATCTCGCGGCGGAGTTAATCGGACACTGAAGCCCGAAGGGTTTCTGGTAGTCCTGGTCCACACAGGCACTACAGATGAATATAGTTTCAATTCCTTTATAGCTTTGTTTAACTGTTGTAAATTGGTGAAGAACAGGGAAATTCAAGGGTTTAATTCAGAGATGCAGCTAATTCGCGAAATTGTTATACAAAAGATCAGTAAAAATGGATATAGCCAACATTCCGGTGCCGACTCCATAAATAAATGCTCTGTTCCGGGGCATAAACTGGAACTGTTTCGGAAAGCAGAGCCTTTGATAGATGAAGAGCCAAAAAAACTGTGGATTACATTGAAGAAGATCAGAATATAATGTATTTGACTTCAATGGCTGATATAAGTTTTAAGCAGATTTGTGTGTGTGTAGATGTCGGTTCTAGAAGCTATGGATCAAGCATTGTAAGTTGGTTTAAAAAGCAATATTCGAAGCAAAATAAGACGTTTGAAATATATGCAATCGAGGCTGATAGGACTTTCCACAAACAGTACGAGTCCAAGAAAGGGGTCACATTGTTGCCATATGCAGCCTGGGTGAGGAATGAGAGCTTGTTCTTCGAGATCAATCAAGGCCCGGATCATAAAAATGCAGAAAAAGGTAAGAGGGATGGGGAGGATTTGACCAGTTCAGTCTTTGGGTGGTTCTGTATCCGTTGGTGATGTGGATGAGATTCCAGGATTTTATTTTGCAAAATGGTTGAAGAATACAGTGTCGGATAGAGACTATGTGGTGATGGTGATGTGGATGAGATTCCGGGATTTGATTTTGCAGAATGGTTGTAGAATACAGTGTCGGAGAGGGACTATGTTGTAATGAAGATGGACGTTGAAGGAACTGAATTCGATCTGATTCCAAGGTTGATTGAGACGGGAGCAATATGCTTGATCGATGAAATATTTCTTGAATGTCATTACAATAGGTGTCAGAAATGCTGCCTGGGCGAGAGGAGCAGCAAGTACCAGAAAACATACGGGCAATGCTTGGATTTGTTTATTTCCCTTAGGGCAAGAGGAGTTTTAGTCCATCAGTGGTGGTGACCTCCTCGATCCCTCGGGCCCGGGGGCAGTTGTAGCAGCTGTTGTGGTCTTATATAGTTCCAATTGGAGTTGGCGTTGGAAAAGCCAGTTAAATCAAAACAATTTGTTTGGCATTTCATAATGGTTTATGCCTTTCAATCGTTTGACACAGAAAGAAGGATTGGAATAAAATTTGTAGGATATTATAATTGACCGTGCTGTCTGCTTCAAGTAGACTTTATTGCAGATGAGAACAAGTACCATTATGACAGAGAACATACATAAACTGATAAACGAGCCTAAGAGATCAAATACTGAATATACGTCCTACACACAAGTTCGAGACTGACCATTGCTAGCAGCTCATTTACTATGGACCATCAATATCGTAATCTTCGTGGTCCCAAATATCAGCCACATTCGTGTAAGGTCCGTCTGTCTTGTTCACGAACAAGCTTTCACCATTCAATACTCGTTTCTGCAGGAAGCAAAAGACATATGTCAATATAATATTTCTCGACTCCGAACTAAATAACTCCTTAACGTCCAGAATATTCATGGGACATGAAGCACGGGAGAAAACTGAAGACTTTCTTGGGAATCCTACATCATCGATTCATTCTAGACAAGGTTCTTATAGAAAGACCTGTAATCAAACATTAAAAGAAAACTTGTTCTACTTGGCTACCCAACAACAATAAAGAAACATAGAGAATTAGGAATACCTGCTGTGGAACGCTACATAGTGCTTGAAAGTCCTCCTCTGGGATTTCCCATCCAAACACCTTTATATTCTCTTTAATCCTTTCATAGTTACTTGATTTCGGAATGGCACTTGTTCCTCTCTGAATAGCCCACCGCACAAGCACCTGCCCTGGGCTCTTGTTGAGTTTCCTTGCTACCCTCTCCACAATAGGATCGTGAATGAGGTCCCGTCCACCTTCTTGTGAACCCAATGGCGAATATGCCTGAGGATCATTTAAATTCATCTGAGAACTCTGACGGGGGTTGGTATCCCCAGCACTTAAAAAGAACACAGTAGCCCCAAAACAAAACAATCCACAGCGTCGTTATTCTCAAAAAGAATGACTTATGTAGAGAGTATTTCACTATCTACTACTCAATTAAATTCACTGCTAGTGTACAATCTATTAGTGGCAATCATTCAGATGTACTATATGAACTACAGTATGTACATATATAATATACTACCGTAACATGGATGCCATTTTTATTGCAGGCCTCCAGTATTTTGTCATTCCTCCATCCCGGATGCATCTCCATCTAAAAACAAAAACAACAAGAAATGTATAATACGAGTTTTCCATTGCAAGTAAAACACGCTCACATAGGGTACATAATTCAGACCTGGCATACAGAAGGCTTTATCTTAGCAAAACTTAGTAACTTGTGCAGTTTCTTCAGTGTGAAATTGCAAACTCCAATGTCTCTAACAAGATCGTCATTTACAAGTTTCTCCATTTCCTCCCAAACTCCTTCCATGTCGAAATCCAAAATGTCCCCCGCTTTTGGAGGTCTGCTGGCTCCATCTTTCAAGTGGAATGGCCAATGAATCTTACATATAAATAGAGAAAAAGACACTTTAACATGTAAATTTACAGCATATTCTGCAGAAAAAATCTATATAAGAAAAATACCAGATAGAGATCGAGGTAGTCAGGTTTCAGTTCTTGAAGTGTATTTTGGAGGGCTAGGCGAACTCTTTCTGGAGTCAACTCAGTGCACCTACATTCACCATCAAACCACACTCTGTTAGAAACATCCATAACTCTTCTAACTTGCACAATAAGCATCTAGGTAAACATTAGTCGTTTTAAACCCCAGTATATGTTCTGTACCATAACTTAGACGTGATGAACAAAGCCTTCCTCTCCACTCCTGCGTGTATGGCCGAATTAATTCCTTCTCCTACCTAGAAGACATTAATTAAAAAGAAATAGATGAGAGGGTTTCTTGCGCGAGTCAAGTTACTGTCGAAAGGCACTTTCGACAAAACTTTAATATCTTCCTTCATATTTGATCAAACTTTGAAGCCAATGTCAACCATTTTTTTCCAGTTCAATTACCATTCAGGTCAATACCTCTACATGACGCGATACTATTTCGATTGGCAATTAAAGCAATTCAGTAGTGTATAAATAAATCATGAATCAAATTTTATAATCCCTATTTTACCTTCTGGTTTATATCTGAACTCTAACTTCAATGGACAAGATTAGCCAAAAGATATTATTGGGTTCTCCTGCTTCTTCAAGGTAAGAAGGGGGATAGAAAACCCTCAAATCATACTCAGAGAAAAGTTCAAATGACGTTTAAACAAAAGATACGTGTACCGTAAACCAACACGCTAGGTTGAGAAATATAAACAATCAAATACTGGTGTTCAGCACAGAAAGATTTATAACCAACCTCATGTTGAACTCCATACTCCCACGCCGTATCCACATGCCTGTAACCAGCCTGCATCCACCATAAAAGCATGCTTTGAACTAGAAACCATCTTCAATTAAACACTAGTAAAAGAATCCTGAGATGCCATCTAATTTTTGTACAGCCTGGGGAAATAGAAATATAATTCTACCTAGAAAGGAACCAGGCCCATATTTCGAATCGTAGTGATACATGATACATCTTTGATGTTTTATTTATAATTCTTCGTGGACTTGGATTCCAAAATCCTAACCAATCAACAAGCAGTTCAACATCTCAAGACATGGTATACCTCAACAATGGCAGTGAAGACAGAGTCTCGGGGCAATCCAGATTTCCACGTGCCTAATCCAACGGCAGGTATTTTATGGCCACTCGGTAGTCTAAAATCTACAACCTTCTCATCGTCTGGAGTGAATGTCGCCTGAGCCATTTCAGTCATAGGTTTACGGTTTCCACTTCAGGAGTAATTAATATTGCTAAATGAGGAAAGGACGTGCAGATTGCATGTTCGACACGTAGTATACATCACCCATTTTCTGCCACGTATACTTGAGAAAAATCTATTTGTATCTCCGACTGACTCGAGAAAATTCCCCCGAATTCTTTTAATTACGGTTGAAAATTTTGAATTCCCAGAACATATATTTGCTTTTCTTGTATATTGTTAGTCCATAATTCCGTTTTGTTACTCTTAATCGTTTGATTTTTTATCTTTCCCTATTTTTATTTTTTTTTTAATACTCAAATTAGGTTGGATTTTTGAGAATATATTTTTTCTTTTATTTCACGTGATGTTTAGTCTTGTTTTCATTTTTATGATATTTTTTTAGGATTTGGCATACACCCTATAAACACTAGTCTTTTTTTACAAATTTTGTATTACTGAAATATAAAATAATTGTGTATGCATATTTATTGTTTTAATTTTCTTCATATTGGTCAATTAAATAAAATACTATGTTCTTCTGTCAATTAATTTTTCATAAGAAATCAAATACAAAGAAGATGTGATCCATACCTTGATCAAAGAGTTTTCAATACTTCGACAGCATCTCAAATGATTGTTGTATGTGCCGAAGATAATGGAAAGGCAAATATTCATGTGCGTGATATTACAATATATAGCCATTGTGACGAATTGCATGGAGTGCATTACTACTATGACTATTATGATCCTTTGCAGTATTCTCGACTTTTTCCATATGGAAAATATGATTGACATGAAGACATTAAATGTTTAGAAGCATACACTTTGAGCTTCAATGTTTACCTAATTTAATCACTTCTCCCAACATGATTGCTTTTGTATTTGAACTTATTCAAAAGGAGGATGAAGGTTTCTTTATATAGTTTTTACTAGACTTTCTAACCATTACGATATACATTTCTATTTGAGTAACGTTTGTCTCCTTGTCATGGAGTTATTCATGGAGCAAAGACACGTTCTCGAGCCTTTTGTCTAGAATATTATTCGTACATACTACAAATCAAGTCTTCGATGAAATCTGTATTGCTTTATACTGGTAGACTATTACAAGAATACATTGTAGATATGTATGTTAAGATTGAAACTGCTAGGTTAGACTATCTTCGTATTAACTAGAAACAAAATTGTGCTGAATTTTATCAAGGCATTGTAGATAGTATTCAAAATGGAAAAACAGTGGGGGGTATAAAATTGGAAGAAAGTTTGTTTTACTACAATCCTTTACATGTGGGCTAGAGACATGCTAAGGAGATACATGTATGAAATATCTATTGTGCAACACTATGGAAAACTAGATATATCTTTTACTATGAAATGAAATCCAAATTATTCGGAGATTAAGCAAGAACTTAACATAATGATGATGTTCAAAATCGTCCAGATCTAATCGGTTGTATATTTAGAGCAAAATTAGAAGAACTCAAAAATGAATTGTACAAGAAAAAAATCTGAGACCATGTTGCTCATATATATATTATTAAATTTCAGAAAATGAGAACTCCCTCATGCATATCTACTATTGATTTTCAACTGTGGTAATAAGATTTCTTCTGCGCAAGAGGTTGATAGTATAGTGTCATGTAAAAAACTTGACAAAAATATATCTATTCTTATCTTCATTTTGTTATTGTTAGACACAATATGGATGGCCATCATGGATAACTTAATCCTAAGAATGCATGTATGGATGGAAAAAAAGGGTTGTAAAACAAATATCCTAGAGATTATTGTAATGCTACTATATTTGGTGATAACTCATAGTTAGCCTTTGTTTGATCTCCATTTTAGAGGAAATAATGCATTTTGAATAGTAGATTGATGGAGAATGTGGTTAAAAATTAAAGAAAAGTTTTGAATTTACGTGTAGTATTATTTTATTGAAGAATGTGTGGTTGAAAATGAGTTTTGAAAAAATGAATTTTTGGAAGAATGGGTATCAAACAAGGACTTATTGTATAAACATCGTAATAATAACGTTCTGTTAAAGTTCGAAGTCAAATATTAGATAATTAATAAGTTGTTCTATATAATCCTTATTTAAGTGTAAAATTTGATTGCCACATTAGTTTTGAAATATGTTCTTTTATCAAAGTTGTAAATTTTTTGTACAAATATGTACACAAATGACATGATCATATTAAATTCTATGTTAACACAAACGAAATAAATAAAGAAATTGATGAAATTTCTACTTATCAATGTACTAGATGGATTTCTCTACCTGAAGCTATGCGGAGAATCTTCTCTTTTAATATGTCATAAATTTGTTCGATTGTCTGTTCTTTACAACTCCATACTGAAAATCAAAAAGTAATATACAATGAACGTGATGATTTATCAACTATTATTGAAAAAGAAAATACGAGAAATATGTTGACTGAATTCTTTCGAATGAATGAAGTAAACGAATTTGTTCTGACGCTTTTATATCATAATTCTCCATCACATTTTGTTTGGAATATAAACCAAAATATTTGAATTCCCTGAAAAAGACAAATTGTTATAGGACGAGTTGTTATAGTTAATCCATCTGAAAGAAAATGGTATGTATTACATGTGCTTCTTAATTATATTTGAGGTCTAAAATTTTTTAACGATCTTGGAACTTTAAATGGGGTAACCGTAGCTATATACCATGAAGCAACACTTCTACATGGTCTGTTGCTTGAAGATAATCATTGCAAAGAATGTCTATCTGAAGCTATTATCTATGAAATGCCAATTTTTTTTTTTTTTTAAGATGTCTCTTTGCTACATTTCTTGCGCTTCGCAACCCTAATGATCCAAAGTTTCTATGGAATAAATTTAAGGTTTACATGATCAATGATTATGTGCACGAAAATATACATACAGAGGTTGCTGAGTTCATAGCTTTACAGGATATCAGTTCTATTTTAGAACCATTAGGTAAAAACATAAATTACTATAGATTGGTCTCTTTAGATGTAAATATAGATGAGAATGAATGGCTGAGAAGAATGGCTATAAAGGAAACAATGAATTTGGATATTAAAAGAGCGTATGGTTGTGCTGTAACTTTAAATAATGAAGAGCAGTTTGCGTATGATAAAATTATGGATAGAGTGAAATGAGCATGATGAGGCACTTTCTTCATTGATGGTCCTGGTGGAATAGGCAAAACATTTCTATATAAAGTATTGTTAGTTGGTGTAAGATCTCAAAATTTAATTGCTTTAGCAACTTCATCTTCGGGAGTATCCGTATCTCTATTACCTGATAATCGAATAGCTCATTTGACATTTAAAATTCCTTTGGAAGTAATTGGTGAAACTGTAAGCTTCATAGTCTGAATAAAAAATTCAGTGCTATGACGAAGTAGTTGATAGAGGAAAATGACCACCTTGCAAAGCAGGTATCCCAACTGGTATGCAACAATGGATACATGCACCACCAATTGCAAAGTATACGTCGTTTTTTTTTCTTATTAATTAGTTAATTTAGCTATTTGTTTTTATGTTTTCAAAATGCCTTGTTGATCATTTTCCTCTTGGTTGCAAGAATGTCAAGTTTCCGGCTGGAAGTGCAGAAATTATTGAAATTCTGTATACACAGGTGAATTTTTCAAATATCTTGGTCCTATAATATTCTCTATTCAAGTTCCCGTGTGGAAGAAACTAAATCGTTAAATGCTATTTGCATACAGATGCACCAACTAAATTAGCTCCTGCTCGGGACTTTTGGTCTTTAAGATACGCAACCACCTTAGAAAATGGAAATCTTGTGATATTCATCTCGGAATATTTTTGTTTCTTGTTTGTCCCGTGTCAAATTATGCCTATGTATAGCTGAATATAAACTTTTGACCAAGTGACTAATATAATCATCATGCACGTGTTTAATTTTCTTCATATATGGCACTAAACTAATGAAAGACTCATCTCCATATTTGAATGAACTTAGCATTGAATAACTTGTATTGCTATTTTCTCTCATTCGTAATCTCTGCAAAACCTTCCCATCATTGATTAAACCTTCCTGTTTGGAAAGGTTGCATTTGTACATAGACTGATCAGTTACAACTTTGTCAACGTGATGTTTTTATATTGAGGGTAGTGACAGGTAAATGTCATTTTTGCCCTTATTATGGGTTGTAATTACAAAAATATATCATTTGTCCAAAAGACAATAATATCCTCTTTAAAAAATTAACAAATACAAACAATCCCACTTAAATCTCAAAATGAAATCACTTTCCTTATCAGATTTTCCAACACAGTTAAAAAAAAATTCCTCTTCCATCTCAAAATGTAGAAGGCAGTAAGCCAAAAAGTGTTCGGGCCGGATGTTTAATAGCCGGCCCTGACACCTTTTTTTTTTCCTTGTGTCATATTTTTTTCGTCCTTTTTATTCTCCTAATTACAATTTTTTTAATAAAATGATGTTTCCTAATGCAGATATGGGATCAACTGCTGTTCCGATTTGTTACTTTGGTGAATTTGAAAATAATGACAATGATCGATGGGTGTGGAAATGGACGAGTGAAAAACATGGTTGAACTGCAATTGCAATAATAACATCAAGTACATCATATGCAGTACAATGAGATACAGAACTTGCTGAAAGTCGATTCCTCTGAGTACTCCATGGAATTAGGATTTCTAATGGGCGAGAATACATTCATTTCAATTCCACCGATAATGATTACTTCTGAAGCTAAAATGAAGGTTTTAATTGAAATGAACTAGGAACGTGCGATTCCTATTTACGTAACTTTGATGAACAAGAATGTCCCCAAGAGTGAACACGAAGATTTCAATGGAGAGGATCGTAATGTGAATGAGTTTTGGGACACAGTGGAAATAATGTGTGATGATGTTGTAGTTGTTCCAGAAACAGTTGCTCCTCACCATGATCTCATTGTTACACACAAAATTTGCTCGGTAGTTCAAGACAACGCAAGAGATAATGACTTTACAAATGAGAGTTTGATTGTTTTATCCCGTTTGAGACATGAGTCGAGTGGG